CAAGATCTTTGTGTAGATACCTACTTTGTGAGCTTCTGATTCCTGATAGATAATTTGACAGTTTCGTGGATATTTCGCTAAGTGCTGCATCAGCATTATTCGATCTTCACGATTGAATCACTGATGAGGAAGATGTCTAAAAACATTGACTAAGAAATGAACACAATGACATGGCCATTCAGCGGAATTCATTTTTGTTTATGTATACATATTTCTGGTTTATGTATACATATTTCTGGTTTATTTTGGAGTACTACATGAGTAATATGAAAGACAAACTTTTTTTTTAATTTGCAAAGGGTGATATCTTATTCATTCTGACATGGAGTCTCCAAGCGATAACTAAGAAAGTATTTGAAATAAGTATGTTAAACTATACTTTCATATTTACAAAACACTGAGTTAAATGACATTAATTTGATAATTTTTCGATTTGTCTACCTGCCTTTCTTCAAACATTGTTTTTTCAGACTCTGAAGTGAAATCATCAGAACAAAGTGACATTTTGGGGGAAATCACTCGTTTCATTTTCATTGTACATATACAGGGTGTTTCAAAACCCTTGCTAGGGTAGGTAGAAAACTGCAATATAAGTTGGGTTTGCTCAGTGAGAAAATGTCGTAACGGCATTCGTTTTCATGATACAAAGTGTTGAAAAATTGATTTTTCCACACATTGTAATGAAATTCTGTATGAATGTCTCTCGAAACCTGACACATCACATGAATTTGTTTTCATATATGACTCTCAAAGAGGGCGTAAGTTACAGGGTTCGTACCGAGTAGTTTAGAACATACCTTTTTTGTGGTTATATGTTTCAATCCAATTAAGATATGAACTTGAACATCATTCAATTTCATACTAAAAAGGTACTCTTGGTGGAACTCGATTCTATGTTCCGTTTTCGGAATATTTCGATTTGAAAATAATGGAGTAATACACAGAGAAAAACAATTCTTTGAATTTAACAAATATTGTTAAATTCAAAGAAATCCGAAGTTTGAATAGGTCCAACAAACAAGCTTGGTTGAATCAAAGTTTCCATTCCTTTGATTTTTCAAATGAGTGATTTTTTTGTATCTATATAATTTATTGAAAATGATATGATTCATAATTTGGAAGAAAGTATATATTTGTTTGAATCAAAACTATTTCTTTGGATTCATGATCAGAATTATTCATAGTGAATAAGTATAATTTGCATCAAAGAAATGAAAGCTTGAGGAAAACAAGGAAATTATTTGGAAGAAATAAATAACTATTTGTTTCAAAGAAATCAGAGCTTGACAGAAACAAAAACATTCTTTGGAAGAAACAAATGATCATTTGTGAAAAATAAATATATGTAAATGTAATTTGATTCAAAAATGTCAATGCTTGGGAAAAACAAGGAAATTGTTTGGAAGAAACAAGTTCAAATAATCGATTCCCTTGCCAGAAATAAATTGTAGATTTGAACGAAATCAAAAATTAATAAACTCAAAGAAATAGAATCTTCCTAAGAAGAAATTCATTTCTTAGAAGACAATACTCCTCTTGGAAGGAATTGAGAATTAACAACAAAATTGAACTATAACAAACTTTATTGAATAATAGAAAAAATGTAACAGACACACTGTTTGGGTTCGATACTACAGAAGTCAAGATACATGATGATCCTGAAGCAGGTTGGTCGCTGTTATTTGTATCCAACCTCAAATATTTGGCAGGTGGATCATCGGCTCTATCATCCGGTGCATCAGCATCAATAAAAATGTTTTCGGAAATCACTGGAGTATTCACATCAATGACAGACGTAGCAGATTTCTTATTGCTCTCCTGAAAGTTTAGTATATTTTAATGCGGGAATAGATGAAATATTTCCATAACAAGGAAATAAAAATTCCATAACATTGAAGTGCATTGATCACAATTTTTCATATGAAGAAAAGAGCTGTGATAATTTTTGTTCTAGTGATTATGTTCTCTATATAGTTACATGATATCTCAAAATACTTATACAGGGTATATCTAAATAATACCGAAAAAATTCAATGGGTGATTACTGAGTTTTAATATTCTCCCGAAGATGCTAACATAGAATCACAACATTTAACATACTAATTATCATTTGTTTCATGGAAACAAATATATTTTGTTTCAAGTGAAGCTGGTGACATTTGAATCAAAGAAATATTTATTTGACTGCATGGAATATTCCATTGAAAATCATAGAAGAATTTGAACGCCATTTCACTGGAATATTTCAATATACAGCAGATTAGAAAGTATACTTATCTACGAAATATCACACATATACCTACCTACCTATTCGTACATCCTTCTATGACCTACCAAATTGCACGGTTTGTCTTTTTGATGGAGATCGGTATGAAAACATCAGATAATCAACAAATCATCAAAAATGTCACGCCATTATTCCGATTTTCAAGTATGAATTACAATTCCTTACCTCTGAGAATTGGGACCATCAGATGACCCAAATGCCATTCTTCCGAAAAATACATCACTACACATTAAAAGAATAGTGAAAATCTGTGAATATGCTGTGGAATTAACTATACTAAATCACCACTGTACGATACGACCCGGCGAACCACATCATCAGAGATACAGAACGAATGCGTTATGGCGGGTCTGGTAGTTGTATACGTTTCAGACAGGGTTGCCAGATGGAGCCGGAGAGCTCGTGAACCTTTTATATTATCTGTATAAGACAAGAAATTTTCATAGTGATGAATCAAAGAATGAAGGTCTAACCCTTGCATGTCATCATCTCCTTAATTCTTCAAGTGTAAAAATGATTTGAAAAATTAACTTGCCGCTGTAAACCTGAAATTATATTATGATGTCAATTAGACATTGTAGAAAAAAGATACGAATTGACAGACGGTTTTGATGAGAAGTAGGTACCAGGCGAGTCCAAAGGTGAGGGAAATATAATTCGAAGACCAAAATTAAAGTTTGCTGATTGGACGTTTACCCGTTTTTCAAAAATACTTGATGACTGAGCATTTCAGGTTCAAAATTTTGCTTCAAATTGCGTATCAGTCATGTCCAGTATAGGTATTCAGCTCGAATAAAGATACAACTTCATGTTGGGTTTGCAGGAGATCCAGCCATAAAACATCAATTCTTGAAATCATGTCAAAAAGCCATTGACGACCCAAAGACAAAAGCGCCTAATTTGTTGTCAGATCTGGCAACCCTGATTTTGGATATTATAGAAACAAGTCACGCCACCGAACTGAACAATAATTGAGACTTTAAGTTTTAGTTTGGTGATTTTTTCAGTCATGGGCATCGTCGAGTTTACTTTGGTAGAAGAAAATAAGTCAGTTGTTTTTACTTTTTCTGGATCTGGATTCTCATTTTCCCAATCATGCGAACATTCGACTACACAACAAAAACAAGCGCATATAATCAAAGCAATATTCGATTTGGACCAAAAATTACTATATTTTGTTATAAATTGTGCTGTCATTCAAAAGAACAATTCCATAATGTAATTTCAATAAGCGCATTTATTCGAGATGAATGACACACTCGCTCTGTTCGAATTATATTTTTTAAATACAAATTTTTTGTTTGTGCATGACAACTATATCAATTGTTCATATTTATATCAAAATTATTTTTCGCCAACAATGTGATATTTCTGTTCAAAATAATATTTATTTGCTCCAAGTAACATTTATTTCTTCGAAATAAATATATTTTCAACAAATGCTATTGTTTCACCCAAACAAATGTCATTCAAATGAACCGATGATTTCAAACAAAGAATTTGATTTGGTTTCAAGAAATAACAATTGTTTCTCGCAAATAACATTTATTTCTTGCAAACAAATATAAGTCAAACAAATGAGATTGTTTCACGCAAAGAAACGTTTTTCTCTGTGTAGCTGATGATGGTATAAAATGAATTTTATTGAGTTCAATTACCTATTTATTCAGATTCAAAAACAATAAAATTATTCTTGTGCTGAAGTTATTGATGGAACTAAGAATCATAAGTAGAAAATTAAGAGATCTTCGACTCGAAACATGAAATATTGAATCAGTTAGAGTATAAGTGTTCAAAATCCTAAGTTTCGAAGAAAAAACGATTCTATATATTCTTTTCTTAAGAATGTATTATTCTTCTTAGCAGTTGAGGATCAGCTGTTAGGTCATTTTAGTGATGTTCAATTATGTCTTACAACTCTTGACGTGGATTTACCTATGTAGCATAGCCTTTCTGCTCAAGATACAACAAAACTGTGTAATCCATGTTCTTAGTCAAATCTGTTTCGATGTTATTCTTTGATTCATTGTTAAATCAATGAGTTCAGCATCAGAAATGTATTGTTGTTTTCGGTTTTCAATAAATAGGTGATATTTTTTCATAATACTCTAATACATAGCTTTATACCAGCAACAGTTATCACTTCATCATTTTCAAATCGAAATATTCCGAAAACGGAACACAGTATCGAGTTTTACCAAGAGTACATTTCTGGTGTGGAATTGGATGATGTTCAAGTTCACATCAAATTTGGATTGAAAAATCTAACTTCAAAAAAGTTATGTTGAAAACAACTCGGTACGAACCGTGTAACTAGCGCCCTCTATGAGAGTCAGATATAAAAACAAATGCATGCGATGTGTCAGATTCCAATAAACATCCGTACAAAATTTCACTACAATGTTGCCAATAGTTTCGACATAATCTTGAAAAATGTGTAAAAAAATAATTTTTTCAACACCTTGTATCTTGATAACGGATGCCGTTACGAATTTTTTTCACTGAGTAAACCCAACTTATTTCGCAGTGTTCTACCTACCCTAGTAAGGGGGTCAGGTTTTTTTTGAAACACCCTGTATATTGATATAGTACTAAAATAAACCAGTTATTAGGATTTCAATTAGGTACCGATCACAATATCTGTGATTTGAAACTGCCATACTCTTTCATATTAGAAATATTCTCACCCAGAATCGTTAAATCAAAATTCCAATTTAGATCCAAATTTTTTTAATGATATTTTATATTCAACGTGTTCACAAAAGCTCTTAGACAATAATTTACAGAAATTATTACAATTTACAGAAAATACAGATTCTTTGGCGAGGAGAAACATAAAACCTCACAGTATCAAGAAAATAAACGGAAATACTATCTGTGTATTATGAAATATATAGAGAAGCTCGAGAAAAGCCGAACTGGGATGATATGTGAAAACATTTAAAGACACGTTTTTCATTCACCACTTACACTTTCTTGAAATATAATTATATAATATATACAATAATACAAGGTGAATCTTGACGGGGTCTGATAAGACCTACCCAGAAAAGTACGCATAATCAAAACCTGAAAATTATAGACCATTCAAAATGTAGAAAACATGCAACTTCATAAATTGCACCAACTACTGGTATGAAGAATAATGAATGCAATTTCTATAGATCAATAGGCCATCACTTCCTTACTCAAAATTATTTTCGGTTTCAAATACATTAAACTTTCATGAGTATTTCTAATAATCCCTCTACAAGACTCACCTATAAGCAATGAATATCAACTAAAGCTCTGTCCATTCATAAAAGTACTATTTACAAAATTTATACACAAAGACGAATATCACTTTTTGTGGGGCCTCACGCTAGCGGGGATAACTGGGGTACAGTAGCGCAGGGCCCCATCTGCCTCAAACCAAACCAGGCGGTTTCACGTCCATCCCCGTGACCATATCCAACCCCATATTCGACGGTGGAGGCGTCTGATTGATAGACGACGGAGAATTCACGTTATTCGTCATATCACTTTGACTGTTCTCCTCAGAGTCACTACAACTGTCCGAGCTGCCTTTCTTGCCAGTCCCGTTGTGGGTCTTCACGTGCTTAGCCAGGTGGTCCGACCGCATGAATCTCTTATTACACACGGGACAAGCGAATCTCTTCTCCCCTGTGTGTGTCCTCAGATGCCTCTGAAGCTCATCGGACCTGGTGAATCTCTTACCGCAAAACAACCAGTTGCACACGAAGGGCCTTTCCCCTGTATGCCACCTCAGATGGGCCTTCAGGTGAGACGTCTTCCCATACACTTTCCCACAACCAGGTATGTGACAGCTGTGGATGTTCTTCTTCCTCAGGTGTACCCCAGCAGGACCGAGTCTCTCGGCTTCTTGGCAGTTGGGGCAATCACAAGTAGCTCTACCGGTGTACCTCCTTTGGGACCTAGGCGAGGGCACTTGAGGCGGTAAACCCCCAGACCCTCCTGTGGGCGAGGGCGCAGATCCAGCGTGCAACCCGAAGGAAGCGCCCACGCTCTGAGCTCCAGGCAACATGGACTTGTACGTGTCTTGGAGCAAGTGTTGCCCGGAAGAGAGCAGATGGTTCGAGGCAGCCAGAGAATGCGTCAGGCTGGAGTAGTCAGGGGAGTAGTTAGCTGCCATTTGAGCGTGCATGCCTGCAGCACCACTCATGTCCAGCCAGCTGCCGGCAGTGGAATGAACGTCCCACCAAGCGTTGGCTGAAGCCACCGTGTCACTCTTGATACCGCCGTGGTGGGAGGCGCTAGACATAGTGTTGAATGGCCAGGTCTCGTACGGATGTCGAGAGTACACCGAGCCTAACGCAGCGTGATGCGCAGTCGCAGCTCCTTCTACCTTGCCCAGCAAGGAGCTCTGGTGATGGTGAACATGAGAGTTATCTGCTACTGCTGGCTGAGATGTAGCTCCAGGGAAGTACAGATCGCTGCCGTATGAAGCTGTGGTGGGGACGCTGGAGCATGACGTCATCACAGATCGAGAGTACGTTGGGTTCGAGGCTGATGATCTCTGAGGTGGCAGCGAGCTTGATGAGGATACTCCGATGAGGTTAGGGGAGGGAGCGCCTTGAGGGCTCTTCTTCCAGGGGTGAAAGCCTTTGCCGACTGCTGCGTCTGCTAAGGGTGGGGGTGATTTGTTGGAGAGTTTGTTGCATTGGGCGGCAAGCATCGCTAGCGGAGTGCCTCGTAGACTAGGGTGATCCTGCAACAAAACAAACCGGAGTTAATGGGTTTCTGAGAGTATCGACGGTAACGGTTATGATGAAGCGGTCTTTGACATCGGCCCGACAATGTGGAATAACGCTACTAGGCGTCATCTCGGAAAGAATATCTTCTCCGTATCCTGTCAGGATCTCATCACTTCAACCACGCCTACAACTCATCAAACAATACGAATCCTAATGAAAGCGTTCGGTAGTCAGCTTCTTTGTGAGTTGTTCTTTTATTAATTGCTTCTTGAGTTGGTGGCGGGTCGTGAGAACTGATATCGACACTGAATAGAAATATCAATGTCTTTCGAGAGGAGATTGTGAAGTCGACAATGCCGAAATGAATTTTAAGTTTGGCTTGTGTCAATTTTGAATGAGAATGTCTCACGCACCTTTGTTCTTCTCATATGATAAAGACTTTCTTCTTGAATGAAATAAAACGTTTAAAAATGAACGAAGATCTTGTGAAATCAGTATCATCTGAGAGAAATGCATGTTGATAGGAATTGAACATTTTCAGCTGAAGCGAGATAGAGATAATCGCAAAGTTGGTGTAGTGTTTATTATGATATGAAATAAGGTACACTTGAACTTGGATTTGCTAGGTGATTTCATACTGGTACTAACTGCATAAAAAACACTAATATTCTACTTGAATTCCTATTCATTGAATGCTGTAACAGGAGGTTAGAGTTTTTTATACATATACCTATACTTCCTGATAATATTGTCAGAATTCCACAGAACCACCGAACATAAACAGAGAAACTATTCATGTTCGGTGACAGAACTAAGTAAAATAATTTTAAAAAAAATTCGATGATGAATGGATTGATTATTTACGGTATTTTTTGTGCAATATTGGAAAATATCAGCCTCGAAAACATTAGAATTGAAGGTTCGTACGCCAATGATATGTTATTATATGTGTTGCTGCCGAGAGGCGATAGCAGTAAATTGAGTCCATCAGACTTCTATTTCCTTTTCGGTCCTGGTCGATCAACCCTATTTCCCAAATCAACATTTGCATAAAAATGAATCGCCTCCAGTCTCCATATTAATGTTAGAATCGTTTATACCTGCCGTGAAAGGCTTCAACATTTGTAATTATTATTACTAGGAAATTATTTGTGAAATCGATTTAATAACTAGCTTCCAAGAATGACAACTATTTCTTATGTAATCGGTCATTATTATTAGTTTTCTGGTGCTATTGAAATGTGAAGGTTGCAGTCTTCATCAAGATTCCTGGTTTTTCTACCAACAGCAAGAAAGAGTCAGTTTTCACTTTGAATTCAGTTTTTATTTATTTTGTGCTCTGCAATTTATAAAATTCAGTGTACACTCGTCTTCAGTGAACATGTCGCTGTTTTGGATAGGAATAAACGATCTCACTGCAGCGGTGATTGAGAGAGCTGACACCGTCCATGTGCGACATGGTCTCTGAAGACGACTGTACCGTGCACTCCATTCTGATTGAGACTGCCAGGTTTCTCGGTTGTTCTTAGAGATATAGAATAGAGCATTGTGGTTTTCACGTTCCTGGCCCATAGTTTTTTGTGAAACTCAAGATCGCCTAATAAGAATTTGCATTACTGTTTTCGTTCATGAGATACAGGGTGACATAAAATTCATACTTTTTGGACCCCATCAACTATATCCACGAACTAGAAATAATGTTGAGCTGAGAACAGATAGTTTCTGCGCAGAATCCAGTGGCATACTCAATTTCATTTAATGGTTTGGAGATAGGACACGAACTCTGTATTTTTTCAAGTACCTAATTGTAATATAATTTAGACATCAGTTGCTGTTGCAACTGTCTATTCAAACAGTTATAAATATCTATTCAGACAGTTCCATCTATTAATTTAGATATTTAAGACTGCATACCTTTCAGACAGATCCAACTGTCGATTTTCATCAACAGTCAAAACATTGTAATAGGGAATTCCACCATGATTTTTTGAATTTTTTTTCACGATTTAGAGCACATACTGATGGGTAAATTCAGCATTTTCTCAATTTTCTTACGATTGCGGTTGACCCAGAAAAAAATTATTAAATTGAACCTAAATTCAAACGATAGCTCGAATGCGCGCGAAATATTGATGGCATTTCATTGGACGAATACAAGGTGCGTCACACCGCGTCATCCACTCCGGACGGATATTCTCATTGGGTAATTCGTCTTGTCACCATTTGTCATTGTATTTGTCACTCAATAAAAACTATAATAGTGATATTCGTTCGTTCTGAACGTACTGACACATTTCACTTGAACTGAACTGAATCAGTTGACATGCAATGAACGTCATTTGAAAGAACGCATATTAACTGATTCAGTACAGTTCAAGTGAAATATTTCAGTTAATTCAGATTGAAAGAATATCACTAATATGACACTGATAGATCACTGAAAATGAAATGAAATAATGAACTATATATGAACTAGATTTCGAGGTTAATCTTTTTCTTCTTCTATAGTTTGTTTTGTAGCCATTTTTATCTCAAGTCACAGATCACCCAACCACTCTGTGCTCGAGTTCTATGTCTGAGGTGACGTCACACCGCGGAAAATGGTCGTTTGGAACTCTCTGAATTTGTAGCACTTTTGAAGTATTAATTAAACGGTTGTAAAGGAATCAATAGATGAGAGGAAGTACTATTTGATATACTGAGTCATGTATGAGACCGTTTGCCATATAAAAAGGGTTATTTCAATCATAGTGAAATTGCCTATATTGGAGTGATATCTACAACCGTCTTATGGGATAATTATCTAATACTATCAACGAAAGTAGAGGGAGTTTTGTGGTCTTGTATAGTTTCCAGATGTGTATTGCATGTAAAGTTGATTAAAAATACTGATAAAAAAGTGGATATATTTTATTTTCAATTCTCATTTCAGTCTAGTATGTTCCTTCTTTGTATACGCATATCCTGTTGAGAGCCTATTTAGTTGCATTCATCCTTGATATATCATTATAAAAGAAAAGAGATTAAAGGTTGCAATTAATTGTTGAAGTCTATGTGATAACTATTCCATTAACACCAATTGGGGCAATTACATGTGGAGGATGAAAAAGCGAGTAGTTCTCTTTGAAAATTCCTCCTGTAGGTATATTCTCTCATAATCAACGGAAAATATCATCATCATGAGAAAGATAACATGAACACGAATTAATAGGTGTAACCACCATTGATAATATCGAGAATAAGAAAGTGTATATGCAATCTGATGTGATGGATTATACAGTGTCATCCATAAAGTCGGCATCATGTGGGAAAAACTTATTAATGACTTATTTTGGAATTCGAGTTGGACGTTAAGTTTTGCTTCAAAAAAGATGAAAAATGGCCTACACAATCGGGATCACGTGACTTTCGCTACATGTCAAAAGTGACATTTTTTCAAATTACTCGCTGAAAGTAGGCTTATTTGTTCGAATATCGAAAAAGTTTACTTGAAAAATTTGTTTCCATTTCAATTTTACACATGCTTCTCGAATTTGATCATTTTATTGCAACTTTTTTATTTTTTTTTTATTTTTCGAAATTTCTGTAATATTTGAAGAATTGTTAATTCCACGAAACTACTTCATACCAGTAGCTTTTTCATGCTACTTACTTTCAATTACTCATTATCAGTGACTATGGACAAAAATGTGATTTTCTTCAGAAAATGATAATACCCGCTTCCAAATTTTGTTATGTTTGATGCAAAGTTAATACATCGTCAAGCTCTTAGAAACGAAATTCATTTAAACTGATCTTTTCAGTACTGAAAAAATAAATTTAAATGAATTTCCTGTCTAAATGCTTGACTCAAACATATATAACAGAATTTTGATGTTATGTTTGCATCAAACATAACAGAATTTTGAAGCGGAGATCATATCATTTTCTGAAGAAAATCATATTTTTGTCGATAATTAGTGATAATTAGTAATAGAAAGTTAGTAGCATGATGAAACTACTGGTATGAAGTAGTTTTATCGAATTTACAATTTTTTTAATATTACAGAAATTTCGAAAATTAAAAAAAAATATCGAAATCTAAAAAATTTGATAGAAAGATAAAATTCGAGTCACATAATTATGTAAAATTGAAATAGAAACAACTTTTTCAAGTAAACTTTTTCGATATTCGAACAAATAAGCCTACTTTCAGCGATTAATTTGAAAAAATGTCACTTTTGACATGTAGCGAAAGTCACGTGACCCCGATTGTGTAGGCCATTTTTCATCTTTTTTGAAGCAAAACTTAACGTCCAACTCGAATTCCAAAATAAGTCATTAATAAAAGTTTTCCCATATGATGCCGACTTTATGAATGACACTGTATATTATATTATTATGAGAATGTGTTTTCTTTATATTTCGAATCCTGGGTTAGTGTGTTTTTGTATTTATGTTAAGTACTTAGCACTCTGTAGAATTCAAGTGACACCAACATTTTTTGAATTTCTATTCCAGTTTAGGTATCATAATATATTCGACTTATTTTCTGTTATTTTCAATAGAGCTGTTGAACAACCCTCAGCCCTTATGAGAAGTTCTACAGGGTGATCCCTGAAAACGTGACAAACTACAAATCCACTTTTGTATATTTTTTCCAAAACCGTGTGTTTACTGTGCAATAAGAGATTTTCAGGAGGGGGTAGGTACATGACATAACTATATATCAATCGGTGTCTTGGTCAGGTAAGTTTGGTAAGCAAACCGAAATCACACACGGTATAAACAGGCCATCTTATTATGTGACACCTAACTCTCGATTCTCGCGATTATTTGGTGCTCGTTATCTGTGAAACCCGAGCGAAGCTTCAATAATTGTCTGTAATCCTAGAGGTCACAATGGGGAATAATTGGGTATTGGGTACTCATAGTATAGGACGAGTAACGCGAAGCTTGTCGAATGTGTGACACATATTATTATAGACGGTCAGTTTCTTAATTCATTAATTGGTCGGACGTTAAAAGGACATGA